GGCGCCGCGGCTCCGGCCCCGCCGCCTCTCCCCGCGCCCTGGGCCCCTCGTCCTCCGCCGCGCCTCCCGGGCGGGGGCCTTGGGCAGGGGCCGCCGTCTCCCGCTAGAGGGACCCGAGCTGCCTCCGCGGCCGTCTCGCCCCAACCGACGGCGAGCGCCTCCGGAGCCGGGACGGCGTTCTCGTCACTTAGATCTGGCACGTAGTGGGGCCTAGCAAGAGGCTGCCAGGTGGAAGGAAGCAGAGGTGGCGCGGGCCCGGCACTTAGTGGGTGCGCCCTGAGTGTTCGGTCATTGCCGGCCTTGGGGACTTGCTCGCAGGCTTGGAGGTGGGGGGCACTCTGACGTGTCGCCTCTGGGAGAACCGTGAGACCCGCGGTGAGCAGAGTTGACGACTGGCAACCAGGACCTCCCAGGGGTAGCCTGGGAGATCTCTTGAGAGACGGGGGAAGCTCTGACTGTGCAAGGTGAGAAAGCAGAGAGGCGGGCAGAAGGCCAGGAGGGTGACCGGCAGGACCTTCCAAGAACCCAGAGCACCTGGGAGCAGGCGGCCTTAAGGTGCTAGGTCAGGGTGTGGGAGCGCGCAGGCGAGGCCCTGGTGCCTGACAGTGGGCACCCACCGCTGACCGTGGAGAAATTCCTTCTGAAGAACCAGGAAAGAGATGCCAATTTGCAAGAGGGGTGGAACTAACTTTCAGCCAGGGCGGCTGTGCGCCAGGCAGTGAGCTGAATTGAGCACTTGGGTAAGAAGTGTGTGAAGCACTGAAAGCAGTAACGGGTGACCTTTTCAGAAGTTTGGAAGTGAACCAGAGAGGCCTGTAGCTCGAGGGGTAGTAAGAGTAAAGGAGAGAGGTGATTTCTTTATCCCTCCCCCGCACCCCAATATGAGGTGGAGCTCTCAAATAAAGGAGCTGAGAGGAGAGAATAATAAGAGAGGAGAGATGGGATAATTAATGGTGCAAGATCTTAGAAAAGGACAATGAGAGATAGGGCTGGCGGAGGGGGAGGAAGAAATCAGAGAAGAGGCACACCTCTTCCCACAAGAATTAAAGGATGCATAAGGATGGAAATATTTTGAGATGGGGAGGCATACACACTGATCCTTCATGTTTCCTTGGATCGGCTGCCTAGATGACACCCAAAGTCATTCTGTAGGCCTCCTGGGGTTACTGTCCTTTAAAACTTAAGTGCAATTGGCTCAAACCCCTATTCCTCTGAAAGTGGGAAAGCCAGCATACCTGCCAGTGTTTCCAAAATTCACAGGGAAACTTACATTTCTCCTAATTGTCCTATTGGCCCTAATTTTCTATTCCCAATATCCTATCATGCTATTTTAGGAAATTTGTCATTGTGTCCTGGATACCACCCCATTTATACTCCCCCAAAATATAGCGTCATATGTGAAAACAAAGTACCCAATGTTATATGATTGTTAAATAAATTATAGTTTATTTGTAACCATTAAAAATCTTGTTGAAGGAAAAGATTAATGAATGGGAAATATTTGTAATTGAAAAGCACATCATAAGATGATATAATAGCAGCTTATAATATATGAATATACTATGCGTATCACAGATATCATGCCTAAATTGGATTTTTATTTTCTTCTGTGACTTCTTCATTTTCTTATTTTCATAGTACATTAATATTTCTCTTTAAATCAGGGAAATGATATTTTAAAGTATTTTTAAGAAAGGTGATTTTTAAGAGATCTTTATGGAGTTTAAAAGATATTAGGAATTAAGAAAGGAGGGGTGCCTGGCTGGCTCAGTTGGTAGAGCATGAGACTCAATCTCAGGGTCTTGAGTTAAAGCCCCACCGTTGGGGCTTTAACATTTTTTTTTTTTTAAGGAATCAAGAAGAAAGGAAATTGCAAATGGGTCTTTGAAGAATGGAAGGGACTTAGATCAGCAGAGATGGGCTAGTTGGGGAGGCTGCCCTCAGCAGGAGGAACACTGCAATCAAGGACACAAAATAAGAAAGGGAGGGAGTGTTCAGGGAACACCAGAGGTCAGTCTGGTTGAGGCGTAGGATTTGAGGTGGAGAAAAGTAGGAGACTCAGTCTGGAAAAATAAGATGGGGCCATGGTCCCGAATGCCAAGCTAAACCCTTTGTAATTTACGGTTGAGAAGAACCCCTGGAGCTTGAACTGTGCAGGGATAAATTTTAAAGTAAATTTTCCTGTAACCTCTTACTTAATGAGGTTCTGGATCTCAGCCCTTCTAACTTAATGATATTTGGATATTTGATTGACTCAGAGCAGTGAGGTAGGGACAACAGTTTTTCATTCCAACTGTGTACAGAATGAGAATTGGCCCTGGCTTCTCTGCCTATCAATAACTACAATTTTTATTCACAAGGCACCAGAGTTTCAGAGAGAACAGATTAGCAAAGAGCGAGGGTGAGAGGAAGAAGAAATGTGCACCTTAAACCAGTGCTTTTTTTTTCTTTTTTACAACTTTCTGTGAGTTTGGCTTTTTTTAGATTCCACAGATGAGTGAGGTCATACAGCATTTGTCTTTGTCTGACTTATTTCATGTAGCATAATGCCCTCAAGATCCATCCATGTTGTCAAAAAGGGCAGGATTTCCTTCTTTTTTTATTGCTGAATAATATTCTTGGCAAACTTTTTTGACGGTGACCCTCTATACAAAATATGTTGCACATCTCAACCCAGAATATACACATGCATGTACATAAATACACCTCTGAGACAGAAGTTTCATGAAGTATTACTCTTCTGTACTGCTGCTGATACTTTCAACTTGATTATTTTTATTTCTTTTTAAACACTGGTCAGGACCTACTACACTGATTTTATGACCCACTTATAGGGGTTACAAAATGCCTCAAAGGACATTGAAAGCGCTAGAGTATTCCCGCTATGTTTACAGTTCTCATATAAGTAGCCATATAGACTGTGACCTTAAGTTTGCCATGTTTACATGTCCCAGAAGTCAACAGGACAGTCAAGAGTCTCTCGGGACATGGTGAGGGCAGGGATAGAAGGGTTGACAAGAGCCATGTTTGGGTTCCTCTTCCCTTCTTAGTAAATATTTCCCGATATCAATATTTCTCGGGAACCATAAATGTTTTCTTCTTTGTTTATCTTGAGATGCAGATTGAACTTCAGACAAGGCTGAACTACCACCTGTAAACCAGAGACAACTTTTCGTGTGAATCAACAGAATCAAAGACTAAAATAAAAGGGGAAATAATGTATCTTGATTGTGACAGTACACAGAAGCTAACTTATCCACCACTGTTGGACTATGATAGGGACAGTCAGTACCATTCCTTTCTTATAAATCCAGAACCAATGAGAAGAGGAAAATACAACTCTATCACCAACAGAGCTGAACTAAAGAATGTGGCTTGGCTGATGACTGGGAGGCTTTTTAATATTCCTGAATTAAAATTATCTCCCCCAAAACTCCGACCTCCCCCTTGAAGGGGCCTAGCAACTTTCACTGTGTGAAAGATTAGAGAAGATTGTCCTCTCTCTGAGGGCAGGCAGATCCGAATTCACCAGTTAGGTAAGTCCAGCCCAATTGTCTCCTAACTGCCCTCCTCTGAAAACAAAACAAAACAGTTAGGGAATAAGGATCTATCCCTGCCCAAACAAATCGGATCTGACCCAATAGCTAGGCAGTTGAACAGAAAAGTGTATTAATGCAGTGAATTATAAAAAATGGCAAATCCATACCTTAACATCTCATTGTCACTTAAAACCTATAAGGAACACCCGTTTGCCAGTCTTCTGATGTGAGGCCAAAATTTTTCTTTCAGCAAGAGTGATGTTTAGGGTGTTCTTGAGCTCTTTCTTACATAAATCCTATCCGCAGTATATTTTCTGTGCTTTCTAATTTGTTTCTCTAAAGTTGACTAAGGACTTAAAACTTCTTGCAAAGCGGTGTAAGTGAAGGCTTCTTCTTTAAAAAAAAAAAAAAAAATCCTTTGTAATTGTCTTACCCACATCTGGTTTGACAGTAATTTTCAACTGGCTGTTAGCTAATATTTCCAGAGCATTCAACTGACATTTCATAGAAACAACTCTCTTTTCATGCTTATGTTTCATCAGTTTGTGTAACTTAAATTAATTACACTCTGGCATACAGTCATAGGAGGTTTGGGACCAAACACAACAGACTCTTGTTAGGCATCTAACTCAAATGGTAGGAAGAAGTGTGTAGGAATTCCAGAGATGAAAGCATTAAGTAGGTCATGGGTAGTAGTCAGTATGTTTAATTGGAGGGAATAGAAAGTGTCGATTCCAGAGAGTCCATTAAAAGAGAGCCGTTAATGCTCATTAGACTAGTATGACCAACTCTGTGTGCATATATCTTAACCTTCTTCCATCATTTATCCATTTTATAAGCCCCTCAAAATCACTGTCTCTCCATTCCCATTTAGCTAAACATGGCTTTAAATGGCTTTGGATTGGTATGGCTATCAAAGAAATTCAAATGGTAACATCGCGTACTGCATTAGCAAAATATACATACCTTTTACGCTTTCCAGTCTTAATAAGATGTTGTAATTGATACATTCAGAGAAAGCTGTGATGTGAATTGGCATTATCCCTTTAGGAAGCAATTGACCATACTTCTGAAGAGCCTTAAAAGAGATGTGGCCCTTTTGACTCATCAATACCACTCCTGGAAACTTTTCCTTGAGAAATAACCCTCCCCCAAAGAGGATGGCCACATGTACAATATTTACTGTAGCCTTATTTGTGGTAGTGAAAGTTGGAGTAACTTATGGTATGTAACATTGTTTAACCTAACCACTGATTACATATTATTTAGAAAAAGATACATTTTGTTCCACTACACTAAGAACCTGAAACTGAATTGTATACTTTAGAAGGCTGAATTTTGTGAATCATATCTCAACTTTTCAAAAAAAGATACAATTCTGTATTTTTGCTTTTGTATCAGCCAAGATCAGCAGGAAACAGATGGCCTGCTAAAAATGTGTAACTGGAGGGAGTTAATGAAGGGACAGTGTAGAAAGAGACAAGCAGGGTTGAGGGAAACCAACAAAGGATAGTGAAGCACCCCAGGGCTAGAATCCGTGGAGAAGGCATCATCAGCCATAGACTAAGTGAGAACAATAGCTGCAGGAAAGAGAGAGCCCATAGGAACTTGCAGGAATACAGCCCTACCTCTCTCTCTTGCCCTCAGGTCTCCTGTGGTACCTCCCCCACTGGCTGAACCCAAGAGGAAACCTAAGTGGAAGTGAGCCCAGATGACAGTGTCCTTCAACGCTAGCCTCTGGGAAAGAACGGAGGGTGGATCTGGAAAGACAAAGGCAGAATATCTAGCAGGTATGTGATCATAGAATAATGTGAGAACTGTCAAAGCATATGGCCAAGGATCTTAAGGGAATCCAGAAAACCAGGGTTTCCAGAGAGGAAAAGTGGAGGTAGCTGGAGAGCACATAGAGTAGGTGGTGGGAACAAGAAAGATCGTTAACTGAGGCTAGGGCAAGGATGAGAGACAGAAGCAGGCACATTTTATTTTTTGGCCAAATACTTAGCTGGAGACTGAGCTCTGGAAGAGATTAATAGGAGATACAGGAGCTAAATTAGACCAGGGCATCGGAAATTCTTCCCCTATTGGCTATTATCCTGTATTTCTCCTTCCTAGCTAAACTGCATGTGTTCAACAAATAATTGCTTAGTACCTATCATGTGCCAGGAACCGTTAGGCCCTGGGGATTGAGGAGGGAACAAAATTAACATCCTTGCTGTCCTGCAGTTTACATCCTGGTGGGGGGAGACAGACCGTAGATAAGTAAATATGTTAAGGAATGATCAGTGTTATTAAAAAAAAAATGTGGGAGAGCAGGGAAATAAAATTCTGCCCATTCTATATCTTAAAAACCTTGATTTAGACCACACGGCTCCCCCCCCCACACACACACACACCAGAGCTCCTGAGTAAATTAGCCTTGTGTATCTCTCACCTGGACAAAGGTCATTATACCTTCCTCCCTCCATCACCCTCCAACCAGTCCTCCACTCTGTGGGGAGGATCTTCCTGAAATGAATCATGTCAGTGCCCTGCTTAAAATCCTCCAATGCTCTTGTTTGCCTGCAGTGTGGAATACTGTCTAACCTCCTTATCATGGACCTTTTCTTAACTTCTCAGTCCATCACATGCCTCTACCTCTCCCACTCTCCTCTTCTGCCCACACTAATTGCCTGCAGTTTACCGGCCATGCCACACTGTCTCTCATATCCGTATGTTTGTTCGTGCTGCTCTTTCCACTTGGAGGACCCTCCCATACCCTCCACCTTCACCAGAATTTGGCAATCCCCTCTTTACGCTTCTAAACCCCTTAGCAATCACCTCTTTGGTCAAGCTCCCCTGACCTTCCCAGGTGTGAGGGAGCATCTCCCAGCTCCCTCTTTCATGTTATGTCTTATAGGTACCTATGAATGCATTTATCATACCATGTTATCTTATTTCTTAGATCTCAAGATGAACAGAACTGGGTTTGGAGCACCTGGGGGTGGCTCAGTTGGTTGAGGCACATTTTATTTTTTGGTCAAATACTTAGCTGGAGACTGAGCTCTGGAAGAGATTCAAAGGAGATACAGGAGCTAAATTAGACCAGAGCATTGGAAATTCTTCCCCTATTGGCTATTACCCTATATTTCTTCAGCTCCGGTCATAATCTTGGGGTCCTGGGATCGAGCTCCTCATCCAGCTCCGTGCTCAGTGGAGAGTCTGCTTCTCTCTCTCCCTTTTCCTCTGTGCCTCCCCCCTCATATAAATAAATAAAATCTTTAAATATAATCCATGGGTCAGAATCCTACATTATTGGTACATGTGTGACCCTCTTTTGTTACTAATCACCCACCCTAAAAACTAGGATTGACAACTTACACATATTCCCCCCCACACACACCCCATGCTGAATCTTGTGTTTATCATTTTCTGGCTTCTAAAAATATTTTTATCTAGCAAATATTTTTTAAATCAATTTTTAAATTGCCCTAGCTTTGATTTCATGGATATGTGGAATCTAAAAAAAAAAACAAAACAAATGAACAAACAAAAAACAGAAACAGACTAGTAAATACAGAGAACGAAAGGTTGCCAGCAGGGAGGGGGAGAAGGGGGGTGGACAAAATGGGTGAAAGGGAGTGGAAGATACAGGCTTCCAGTTATGGGATAAGTAAGTCATGAGTATGGAAGGTACAGTGTAGGGAATGTAGGGGACAGTTTGGTAGTAGCTTGATGTGGTAACCGATGGTAGCAACACTTGTGGTGGGCCCAGCATAAGGAGTAGAGCTGTCAAACCACTGTGTGGTGCACCTGAAACTGAATGTAACATTGTGTGTGTCAACTATACTTCAATTACAAAAATTACCCTAGCTTTATAAAAATGTTAAAAAGTTTTGCTTTTTCAAAAAGGTGAGATTGAAGGTGCTTATATATCTTTACTAGCCATATATATATATATATATATAGGATTTACTAACTACATATATATACATATATATATATATATGATTTTATTTATTTATTTGTCAGAGAGAGAGACAGAGGCAGGCAGAGGGAGAATCAGGCTCCCCACCAAGCAAGGAGCCTGATGTGGGGCTGGATCCCAGGACCCCAGGATCATAACCTGAGCTAAAGGCAGACGCTCAACCGACTGAGCCACCCATGCTTCCCTACTAGCTATATATACTTCCTCTTGTGAAATATCTGTTCATATCTTTTTGCCCATTTTCTATTAGTTTTTTTATCCTTTTCTCATTAATGTTCAGGATTTCCTTATGTGTTCTCTTAATGTTCCTTTAGAGTTTTTTCCCCTTAGAATTCAAGTACACAGAAAAAGTTTAATTTCTAGAAATTTATATATGTCTATATATTTACATATACACATAAGTGTATACTTGTGTATGTGAACCTACATACATAGTCCCAACACATGTATTTTAGTTGCTTTCTTTATTAAAGGGTATCATTCCCTACATAATATCCTGGGACTTCTTTTTTTTTTTTAAGATTATGTTTATTTGACAGAGAGAGAGAGAGCGCAAGCAGGGGGAGAGGGAGAGGGAGAAGCAGGCTCCCCACTGAGCAGGGAGCCCAACACAGGACTCAGTCCCAGGACCCGAGGACCATGACCTGAGCTGAAGGCAGATACTTAACTGACTGAGCCACACAGGTGCCCCAATCCTGGGACTTCTTTTTTACTTTCCATGTTGCATTGCTAAGATTTATCTCGGGCATGCTGCAAGTAGCTGAGTTTATTTACTGTGGCTGCTGTAGATTATTCTAGAGTGTGAATGCACTCATATTACTTTGCCCCTTGCGGCAGAGGCTCTTGGTACCCTGTGTTCTTCCCTATGGCTCACCTCTGATTTTAGCCAAATACATCATGGCCAGTTTCATGGGAGCTCCCAAACACTGACAATTCCTACTGTTCGTGTTAGGCCTTGGGTTTCTCCAATTTCTGCTTCAGGCCCTTCTCTGCCACAAGAGCTTCCTAGCATCTCCTCAGGCATGGCCTGACGGTAAGGAGAGTTAACCCTCAACTAATGGGGGACGTGAGCCAAGGGATAAAAGCCCCAGGTTCCCATCCTTCAGATGGACAATTCTGGGAGCCATTTTGTATGCTTCTCAGAGGCATCCACAGAATCACATGCCCCAAGTCAGCTTTTCTTCCTCCTCTGCCTCAGCCTTCTGTCCTTCACTCCTGCTGCCTAAGATCACTTCCCAAATAAACAACCTGCCCCCAAGTCCTTGACCCAGTCTCTGCTTTTGAGGAACTCAAACTAATACAGCCAATGTCCTGATAATGAGCGTTCGGGCTGTTGCAGGGTTTTGCTATTGCAAAAATGCTGCTAAGAAAATTTGTGTAAAGCCCACTGGTACACAGGTACAGGAATTTCTCTTGTGTATTTATATAGGAGTAGAAATGCTGGGTCAAAGGCTAAATCAACTTTCAACTCTACAAGATAATTCCAAACTGTTTACCAAAGTGCTTTTTACCAGTTCATAGTTTCAACAACATCATATATGGAATCCTATTGCTCCATATCCTCTCCGACACTTGGTATGGTCAGATTTCTTAATTTTCAACACTCAAACGGGTATCAAATGAAATCTCATTGTGGTCTTAATCTGTACCTCCTGATGATTCATGAGATTGAACAGGGCTTCATATATTTATTGACCATAATGTTTCATCATCTGGGAAATGTCTATTCTTAGCTTTTGCTCGTTTTTCTGTTGGTTGATTGTCCTTTCCTCATTAATTTCACTAATGCTTTTTTTAAATTTTTATTTATGTAATCTCTACCCCGCACGTGGGGCTTGAACTCACAACCCCAAGATCAAGAGTCACATGCTTCACCAACTGAACCAGCCAGGCACCCCTAATTTTACTAATTCTTGGACAGTTATGGGTTTTTACCCCTTGGCACTCAGGTGCTCAGAATTGAATTAATCACAGTCTTTACTGGATAAGACCTTTTTTTCTGGTTACAAAATCAAGGCACGCTGTCGTAAAAGGAACATGTAAAGAACACAGACACATCTAGCTTTGAGAAAGTCTTCTTTCTGGCAGTTCCACCCCACCTCTGAGCAGGAATAACTCCCGCGAGTTTGTTATCCCATATTTTGGGGATTTTGTTTTCATGAATGTCTCCCAAATCAGGTAGTTTCTCAAAAGTAAGGACTGTGTTGTGATGCCCGTATTCCCAGCTCCAGAAGTACTGGCTTGGATCAGGAATGTAACACATCACTGCTGAACTAACTCCTGAAAGGTGGTTCAGAACAGAAGTTTTTAAAGGTACAAGACTTCAGTTTGAACAGAAGACTCAGGTAGGAGACAAACGGAGGATAGTACTGGTAAAACGTTCTGAGGCTTGATTACTTAAAGTCTTAGCCGTTGAGCCAAAGTGTTTGATTTTTATCTTGGAGGCAGCCCTCCGAAGAGGCACTCAAGGCCACTTTGGGTGCAGGGAGGTTATTTGTTCTTATGTTTTTATCAGCGACAGAATTAAAATAAAACACTGACAATCTAGTCATCTAAAAGCAGTGTACAGGATGTAAGGGAGGAGGTTGGGGAAAATAAAACCAAAGATAGAGGAATGAATGAATCAAGAAGTTATTAACTTTTTTGGGGGGGACCCAGAGTCCAATGAAAAAGTCATGAAAACTGGGCCTTTTTTCAGAAAATAGACATAAACCTCAGCCCTTGCACTTTTTTTATTTTTTTTTAAGTTTTATTTAAGTCATCTGGACACCCAATGTGGGGCTCGAACTCATGACCCCAAGATCAAGAGTCGCATGCTCCACCGACCAAGTTAGCCAGGCGCCCCAGCCCTTGCACTTTTTAAGAACCTTTGATCAGTGGGTTATTCTTAAAAAAAAAAAAAAGATGTTATTTATTCATTTGACACAGAGAGAGAGTGAGAGAGAGAGAGCATGAGCAGGTGGAGGGGCAGAGGGAGAAGCAGGCTCCCCACAGAGCAGGGCTCCATCCCAGGACCCTGGGATCCTGACCTGAGCTGAAGGCAGATGCTTAACCCACTGAGCCACCCAGACGCCCCGATCCGTGGGCTGGCTGTTCTAAGAGCGAGAGATGAAGAACCTGAACTATGATGGCAGAATGTGTTCATTCACTCAGACATGTTGATGTGTCTCCTACTAGATGCAAGGCACAGTGCCGAGTGCTGGGCACACACACCATCCAGTTTAAAGCATGGAGTACAGTGTGGCATGGTTGTCAACAGCACGGACTCTGTGCTCAAGTGTTTGGTTGCAAACCCCTGCCAGGTGACCTTGGCTAATTTGTGAAATCCATCTGTACTCTGCAGGTGTTTCACAGAGACAGCCCTATCACCACCCTCATCATCAAGGGAATCACACATCCCAATAAGGCACTTAGAATTCAAGGCATGGAGGGAGCCCTTGGCAGAGCCTTAAGGCAGAAACCAGAGTGGAGAGCAAAAGGAGGAAGCAGAGAGCATGGGCTTGATTTCAGGAGCTTTGGCTAAAATGGAGGAGGGGCGAGAAGGCAATAGCTGGAGCGGGAAGTGAGGGCAAGGAATGGGTGAGACCCTAAACGCCGTGGGGAGGACAGAGTGGAGTGGGAGAGGCTGACGGCAAATCGCCGAAGATCTGTTGTTTCCCCTAAAGGTGCCCAGAAGGCAGACAGGAGGGCTCTAGGGCAGAGGTGGGAGGGTCTGGCTTTCGCTGGGAAGACACTTCCGCTTGTGCACTGGCGGGGAGGAGTCAACTATGGTGTGGCTGCAGGTGCTGGCTCCAAAGTAACCACAGGCCAGGGTGAAGGAATGTCACCCACGGGGGAGGGGCGGGGAGTGGAGGCTGATGGGAGGTCTGAGGAGAGGGGACAAGTGGCCGGCTGACCTGACCGAGCATTTTAAAGGGGGGCTAGACAGGAAGTAGAGAAGGTAAGGAGATTGCCAGGGATTCCTCAGAACTGGTGAGTTTATAAGGACACAGATCCTTCCATTGGTCATGAGAGCTACAGGAGGAGAAAAGCATCTAAAGAAAGGGCAGTGAGTGGTGAGTGAAGTCGGGAAGAATGGGGACCCACAGGAGACCGCGGGATTTGCCAACTGACTGGTGACTACTGAAGTGATCTCAAGGATCACTCTAATGTCAGAGCAGATGACACGTGGCTTGGAAGAAAGGAGGGAAGGAACAGCAGTAAACTACCCCAATCCGAGATCTGATGATGGAATGAAGGGGAAAGTAAGACATTAACCAAAGAGAGAGTCGAGTGGGGCATATTTTTCTTTCTAGAAGTCAGGAGAGACACCTCTGTGGACCCGTATGTACATGTATAATTTTTTAAGGCAAAGGCCGTGGTTGTAGCTGCCGGCGGGAAAGGGAGAAGTGAGGCTCCAGGTCAGCGGGGAATGACGCAAGCATAATATGGTAATGAACAGCTCCTCTAGGCCAGGTGTTTTCCAGAAGACTCTGTCATCCCCAATATACAGAGGAGAAAACTGAGGCTCAGAGAAGTTCCTTGCCCCAAATTACCCTGCTAGTATGTGACAGAGCCAGGATTTAAGCCTAGGTCATACCACTCCAAAGCGCCAATGCTTACCGGCCCCTGTCCCACAGAGAGGCAGAAACATTGACACTACTGAGGAGGAGGAATACTTCCCTTGGCACCCAGAAAAGGAAGAAAGACTTGGAAGACATCTGTGTGCTTAAGATTTTGTGTTCGTTCAGAGTTATTCTCCTTCCCACTCACCTGTATAAGCATATGGACTTTTTAAAGTTGGCATGATTGAAAATAAATAAATTAATTAAATAAATAAATAAATATTAAAAAATAAAGTTGGCATGATTGAGAAAGCATAACTTGACATTGAAAAAAGAATCAATCTTCCCTTAATTCAGGAGAACGGAGGGGAAACAGTTTGTATATGTTGGCAAGTTGTTTATTACAGTGAGCAGTGATCGACTTGAGGCATTTTGTGATATATTTTTCATCTATCAATATTTTCTTTTTTTTAAGATTTTATTCATCTATTTGTCAGAGAGAGAGAGAGCACATGCAGAGGGAGCGGCAGAGGGAGAAGCATGTTCCCCGCTGAGCAGGGAGCCCAATGCGGGGCTCGATCCCAGAACCCTGGGGATCATGACCTGAGCCGAAGGCAGAATCTCTGAACCACCCAGGCGCCCCTATCAGTATTTTCGGATAGGTGATTTCAAAATCACTGCCTAAAGAACAGATCTCATTTCTTTTTGCCAAACTCCCACATGCAGGGAACACAGAGAAAACCAAAACCAAACCATAGCCCAAAGGGAACTGTGTAGCCTTAGGTCAGGTCCCAGCCCAGGGCGAGAGACAGAAACCAAGAGCTGTGGTAAGTAACTGGGCAAACTGGTCAGGACACAGGGAGCAGACCCTATTGCCACACTAACGTCCCAGCCCCAGAGGTCACACCAAAGGCTGTGAAGAAAATGCCAGAGTTCAAGGGCATCGAGCAGACCAGAAAAGGACTGAAAAAAGCAACTCTGAGCAGAAAGAAGGTAGCCACCTGACCCCGCTTTGCAAACTAACCTCTCTGTGCCCACAAAGGCCATTTTAAGTCATCCAGTGACCTGTTAAAAACAGTGAAAAGAAACAAGTGAAATCAAACTTTAACTATATCGGAAGTACTAGTGGGGCACCCGGCCGGCTCAGTCAGTGGAGCATGTGACTCTTGATCTCAGGGTCCTGAACTCAAGCCCCATGTTGGGCATGGAGCTTACTTCATTAAAAAAGAAGAAGTATTATCATTTCACATTGTAATCAAATGGCCAATAATTTAAATTCCTTTTTTCATGCTAAGTCTTCAAGATCTAGAATGTGTCTTTTTTTTTTATTATTATTCATTTGAGAGAGAGACAGAGAGAGCACAAGCAGGGGGAGGGGCAGAGGGAGAAGCAGGCTCCCCACTGAGCTGGGACCCTGACATGGGGCTCGATCCCAGGACCCTGAGATCATGACTGGAGCCAAAGGCAGACGCTTAACCATCTGAGCCACCCAGGCGCCCCTGGAGTGCATCTTGCACTTGCAGTACATCTCAATCCAAACTAGCCTCCTTTCGAGTGGTCAGTGGCCTCTGTGGCTAGAGGCCTCGGTGTCAGTCAATACAGGCTTAGAGAAAACCATACTTAACATTCTGGCATGAAAGCATTTTCTCTCTATATCTTTTCTTTTATCTTTCTTTTAAAACATGTTCAACTGGGAAGGGCTGGATTTTGAAGGGAGTGGGAGAAGACTCTCAGATGCTGAGAATTTCTAGTGTGAATTTTTATTTCTTTATTTTTTAAGATTTTATTTACTTATTTGCCAGACAGAGAGAGCATGAGCAGGGGGAGAGGGAGAAGCAGACTCCCCACTGAGCAGGGAGCCCGATGCAGGACTTGATCCCAGGACCCTGGGATTATGACCTGAGCCGAAGGCAGGTGCTTAACCTGACTGAGCCACCCAGGCGTCCCTCTAGTGTGAAATTTTAAATGTTTCAGGTATCACTGTCCTAGTCAATTTCCTTCCTTTCCTTGACACATGCTGCTGCTGCTGCTGCTGCTGCTTCTTCTTCTTCTTCTTCTTCTTCTTCTTCTTCTTCTTCTTCCCTTTTTTAAGCCCCACAATGCACAGAAATCCCTTAGGAAGATAAAAAGGCAGGGAATGGGACACAGGTGGATGCCTGATACCAAGCATTCATTCCTTCCACTCATTTATTCATTCATTCATGTTTGCTCTTAACAGCAGTTACTACTCATCACCTACAGGTTAGGGACTGTGCCTAAGGTTAGTCTTCCAGGCATAGTCCCTGTCTTGTGAAACCTCCAATTTGGCAGAAAAGCCAGAGAAATAGTGACAAGAAAATGTAGGAGGTGTTATGAACAGGGAAGTCTGAGCTGCTGCTGAGTGGCCTCCTGGGGGAATAATGGAATCCATCTCCAGAGATGAGATAAGAGAAGGCTTTAGGGGTAGAGGGAGGAAGGAAGATTGAAGGAAGAACAGCTAAGCAAAAGGGAGAGGGGAGGGCTGGAAAATGCTGGAGGCAGAAGGAGCAGCTCTAAGGAAGGCCCAGAAGGCTTTTGTGGAACTGAAAGGGTTCCCTGTGGCTGAGGCCTCTGGGGTGAGAGGGAGAGAATGGTATCAGGCATCATTCTCTGTGCAGCCCAGTTAGTGGTGTGAGCTGGGAGGCAGGATGTTGACAAACTGGGAATAGGCAGGCCCAAGACAGGAAGTACTCCACCCCGAAAATATTCCTTCCCCAGCTCAGTTCAAGTTCACCAGTTACACAGATGGGTTAATGAGCTACTCTTTTTTTTTTCTTTTTTTACTCTTTTTTTTAAATTCCAGTATGGTTAACATACAGCGTGATACAGTGTGATATTAGTTTCAGGGGTACGATATAGTGATTCAACACTCCCATACATTACTCAGTGCTCATCATAATACGTGCACTCTTAATCCCCATGCCCGATTTCTCCTAATTCCTCCCGCCCACCTTCCCTCTGGTAACTACCAGTTCTCTCTAGTGAAGGGTCTGTTTTTTGGCGAGCTGTTCTTTATAGAAGCGAGAATCTCTCCTATAGTGATTATTCTCTTTTCAGATTATGTCAGACCTTGAAGCCTTCTTTTTGATTCCGAAAATTGAACACGATTGAAGTTCCATGTAATAAAGGTCATAATGAAGGGGTGTTAACTCTGCCCAGGGGAGGTCTGCGGAGGCTTCCCACGGCAGATGACACTCAAACAGGGTCTGGAGGTAGTAAGATTGACAGGCCTCCAAGTGTAAGGACATTCTGATGATACGAATGATCCCTATTTACTAAGTGTCAGGCACTATTCTCATGGTTTACATTCTAAGCTCACTTTAGCTCCATAAAAACCCCTAGATCCCACAGTCCTTATTTACAGGTAAAGAAACCGAGGTGCAGAGAGGTAAATTAACTTTGAAGTGACTTGTCAGGGCTCCTGGGTGGCTCAGTGGGTTAAGTGTCTGCCTTTGGCTCAGGTCATGATCCCGGGGTCCTGGGATTGAGCTCTGCATAGGGCTCCTTGCTCAGCCGGGAGTCTGCTTCTCCCTCTGCCTGCCACGCCCCCTGCTTGTGCATTCTCTGACAAATAAATAAAATATTTGAAAAAAAATAAAGTGGCCTGTCTAGGATCACACAGTTTGGAAGGGGTAGAGCAGTTTGGCTCTAGAGCTCACTTCATAACCCCTCTGTCATATCTTGGGGCTTCAAGTGTTTGCATATGCCTGCATTATAGGGTGAGGGATTAGCAAGGAATGTCAGATCAGACTGATGAAGGAGGGAGTGGCCAAATCATGCAGAGTTTCAGCACCAGCGCCTTGAAGACAGGCTACATAGCAGCCTTTAGGTAAATGTTTTTTATTACTTGAGTGCATTTATAAATGATTGCTAATGATCATATTTTTGAATGTGGTTGCATTAAGAGAACATTATATTCAAATCCAGATTTACACAAACCACATTTCCAGTGGTGATTCACTGCCTTAACAGATTCCCAAAGGATCCTTTAAACCATCAAGTTGACATAGGCAGGCTGGATCTGAGAACCCAGAGGGGGTCCTGCAGGACCAGCCAAGAGGGTCTCTGGCTATGTGCAGGATAGAAATCAAACACAAGCCGGGAGGAAGTGAGAGCAGAGTTTACTGAATTGCATAAGGGAGAGAGTATAGCAGACGGAGTGTCTGGCCGAGTCAGGATAGGAGAGGGAGTCTCTTCCTTGCCTGGGTTCAGGAGGTTATATTGGAAAACGGTTCAGGGTAC